ACAGTGGTTACCAGCTTTGCAAAGTGAACCCTGACGGAAGGGAGCCGCTGTCAGAGCTGGCTGGTCAGAATTCAAATCCTATCTTTTTTGAGCTTTGTGGCTTTAAGTTACTTAACCTCTCTGGGCCTCCATTTCCTTATATATCAGACAGAAGCACCCGAGTATTTGATTTATAAGGTAGTTTTGAAGCCCAAAATGATTTAATATGTATTAAACACTCCAAACATCAGTGACTGCTATTCTTGCCATCAGACAAAAATGCAGAAAAAGTTTAATAATAAAAATAAATGTATCTTCCAAGTCCCTCCCTGAACTGCTAGCCCCTCCTCTTTCCACCTGCCCACCTGTCTCTCTCCAGAAACAGCAGTCAATTGCTTCTAAGACCCACTCAGAAAGCTGGGGTGGGGGGTCCCTGTCCCTAGATGTGGGGAGGGGGAGCCTTTCAAAGACAGTTCTTTACCTTAGTATCAAGCTTTCTGAGCCAAAGGCCAAAGAAGCAGAGTCCCATGTCAACTTGGCACACTTGGCCACCCAGATTCCTGTCTGACCTACCCCCATACAGACTTTCTTGATGACCTTGGGGAAGTCCCTTCCCCTCCTCTGAAGCTCGGTTTCCTCATCTGTCAAACAGCAGCACCGTGGGGAGTGACAACCCAGAGGCCCCAGGTTACAATCACTGCATCAAGTCCCAGTGGCCACAGGACAAGGCCAGTCCCATTAGCCTAACCCCAGGGCCACCATCCCACAGCAGGCTGCCACCTCTGCCTCCTTGGGCCCCCAGGTCATTTCTCCAAATGCTCCAGCACCTGAAACCATTTCCCCCCTGCCCCATTCTCTAGCTCAATAGAGTAGCTTCCTTGGCAGCCTTGGGGGGCGGGGAGGGGGGTCTTCTTCCCCAGGCACCCAGACATAACCCACTGCTTGGCCCAGTCCTGGAGCTGGGCCTCTTCAGGCCTCAGACCTGGGCCCACACAGGCCTGCCCCTGGCTGCTCCACTTCCCTCCAGCCACACAGTCATGTCACACAACCCCCTCCGGGGCCGGTACGTGGACTGTCCTCCCTTCTCCCATCTCTGGGGTCACCTCCACTCAGACCCTGGCCCTAGGCAGTCTCCTGAGTCCGTTCCCCGTCCCTGTCACTGAGAGGTGCCCCCTCCTTGCAGGACACACACACACACACACACACAGCCAGGTGTTGGCCTCTCCTCTCAACCTGTGTCCTTCCCCCATAGTCTCCCCAAATCTGGGTCCCCCCCCACATACTCCCCCCTCCTTAGCCTGGCCCAGTAGCCACCACCATTCTTCAAAATCTGCTCCTGGGGGGGTACCCCCACCCCATTCTCTCCTAACATTCACTCTTCTCATCCCCAGGCTAGACCCAGGGCTCTCCTGGGGTCATGAGATGTGCAGGCCCTAAGACCTCCCCCGCCCCCTTGTGCTTTAATGGCCTCCAACCCCTTCCAGGCTCTGCCCCCAAAATGCAGGTTCACTGGAGACATCAGAAGCCTGGAGATCTTTGGGGTGCCCCGGGCTCCCAGCCTCGTTGGCATCCTTCGCCCCCCTCCCGGCCCCAGCACCATCCCCATCACTCTGTCCCCACGCGCTCCCCCAAATATTGGGGTCCCGCCCCCCC